CTCAGCCCAGATTGGACTGGAGACGCTACAGCTTCTGTAGAAACGCAGCCTGAACGCTGAATGTTGAAGAAGCTAAAACTGAGCTGTTACAAACAGAACAGCTGAACAAGGCTAAAGCTAGCGAAGCAAAAGGTGAAAGTAAAAAGTAGCAAAACAGTAGTTACAGTGGTGCTTGAAAGTTTGTGAAGCCTTTAGAATTTCCTGTTTCTGCATAAATATGAGCTAAAACATCATCAGAGTTTTACACAAGTCCTAAAAGTAGATAAAGAGAACCAGTTAACCAAATGAAACAAAAATATTATACTTGGTCATTTATTTATTGAGGGAAACGATCCAGTATTACATGTTTGTGACTGTCATTGTGGTTCTCTTGATCTACTTTTAGGACTTGTGTGAAAATCTGATGATGTTTTAGCTCATATGTATATAGAACATTCTAAAGAGTTCACAGACTCAAGTACCACTATATAATTTAAAACCAACAAAACAATAGCTGGAAGGTAAAACTAGCAAACAAAATTAACTAAAAGTTGAAACAAGCAATATTGTAGCTGAAAGACAAAAGTAGCAAAACTAGCTAAAAGCTAAAACTAGCAAAACAGACTAGTTTTAGCTAAAGGTTAAAACCAGCAAAATAGTAGCTAAAGGTAAAAACCAGCAACTAAATATCTGAAAGCTAAAACTAGCAAAACAGACTAGTTTTAGCTAAAGGCTAAAACCAGCAAAATAGTAGCTAAAGGTAAAAACCAGCAACTAAATATCTGAAACCTAAAACTAGCAAAACAGACTAGTTTTAGCTAAAGGCTAAAACCAGCAAAATAGTAGCTAAAGGTAAAAACCGGCAACTAAATATCTCAAAGCTAAAACTAGCAAAACAGTAGCTAAAAGCTCAAAACTGCAAAACTGTAGCTAAAAACTAAATCTAGCAAAACAGTGATGAGAACTAAAAATAGCTAAACAGTAGCTAAAGGAGGAGTAGCAAGACAAAGAGTAAAAGTTAAAACTAGAAAATTGATGCTTACAGCAAAACCCAGAAAACAAACAAACAAACAAACAACAACAAAGCTACCAAAACAGCAGATAAAAACAAAAAACAAAAAAATGATAGCCAAATGAGTGTGACAGGAGCTAAAAGCCAAAATACGCAAAACAATAGCTAAAAGCTCAAACCAGCTAAATAGCATTTAAAAGCTGAAATTAACAGAATGGTAGTTTAATGTTAAGACCAGACAAATAGTAGCTATTTTATAAGAACAGTGGCTAAAATTGAAAGCCTGCAAAGCAGTAGCCAAAAGCTAAAATTATTAGTCTGATATGTAAAAGCTAGGACTGGCAAGCTCAAAGCTAAAAATAAAACAAATATACTGAAGTAGAGTTCAAAGATGACAAACACTGACGTTCCAATACATTATTTATCGTTTGTCATCGTCTCTGTCAGAAAGTACAGATCAGACACAAGGACTTTGCTGTCACGGTGCCACAAATTGACTTGTGCTCTCCTCCACTCACTGTAGTCCGCCGAGGAGGCCGAGCGACTAACAACATGTCAGGAAGTGAGCTGGGAGATCAATGAGGGCGCTGACTCTGAGACGGCTGGCAGGCCCCGTCACTCCGTGTCCTCGGGGCTGCAGCTCGTTCAGCTGTCTTTATGAAACACACGTCCTGAAATCCTTCATCAGCTCCTTAGAATGTCAACTTTATACAGCCATGTTTTTATAACCACTTCTGACAGGCAAAGGTGGACGATAAGGTGTCTGTCTGCCTTTCTGTCAGCAAAATAACTCATAAACCACTGAACAAATTTAATGCACCTTGCAGAAAGTAATCAATGAATACTTAAACGATTTCACCAAATGCACCAGATACTCTAAAGTTCCAAACTAACGTACAATTAAGGTACAACTTTCTATATTTGCCGTTTGTGCACAGACCAATAATCCTGTAATTCTTGTGCAGAGCTCTCACATAGTCAGAACACTGAAACAACACTAAATAAATAAAAATAAGAACAAAGTGGTTGATATGTTGTACAGGAAGTAAACCATGTCACATGACCAGTGACGTTGGGCAGTGTAGAGTTATTATTGCACCTGAGCAGTAGTTTTGTTTCGCCTTAAGTCTGGCTGTGGCAGAGAAACAACTATTAATAAACTTGTACTGTGGCTGATGATGATGTCATCTCTACTGTGTCTCGGGTTGTATGAACATATTTTGTGTCTGATAAGAGAGTGAGCTGGACGGAGTGAGTCCTTCATGATTCCTGCTGCTCTTCTTCGACGGCGCTCTTCATACGTCGAGTCCACGGACGGAAGTCTTGTCCCTGTGGTCCTCTCCACCGTCTCCGTGACTCTTTGCAGTGTCTTTCTTTCTGCTTGTGTGGCGTTCCCATACCCGACGGTGATGCTGTGGTTAGAACAGTCCTCCATAAGCCTGTGTGAGAGGGCACTGGTTCAGACCCAGTTTCCTGAGCAGCCTAATGAAGTAAAGTACTCTAAAGTAATCCCACTTTAAATAATTTATTATTTCAGTGAGGAATGTCTGCAAAAAATGATCAAACTCCACAGTTACGGTAATATAAATCGGGTAACTTTAATTACCTTTAGATTATTTCAACCTTTTTTTTTCCCGTAAAACAAATAAATAAATAAATAAAATATTGTAACTGTCTTTCCAGAAAGATTAAATTGTGAACCTAATGCTCAGAAGCTGTCCGTTATTTGTAAAAAACGATCGAGCGCTCCTCAGCATATCTAAAATTTAAATCATTTTAACCATGATTTAAGGTGTAACTTTATTTTTTACACTTTACAACTGATAAGCTCTGTGCCATTAAATCTGCACTGTCCAAGCTAATCATGTTTGAAAATCTAGGCTGCTGTTTTTCAAATAATTCTATTAATACCATTTATCTAACGCTCAAGCGAACTATTTTTCTTATTACGATTAGGTGGTTTTAAACAAAGTCTCGATTAGTCGTCCACATCTTGTTTCTAAGATTCTGTACGTTTAGCCAAGTGTTCATTCACTAAATTAGTCAGTTTATTAAAATATACATTAAAACCATTTATCCAATTCTAACACTTTCTATTTTTTTATTATTTATTATGATGTTTAGGCTGTTTTTCCAGTCATTTTACCACGTGTTGCACTGCTAAGCAAGAATTCAGTACAGCTAATGGTTTATCCAATTAGCTGTGTCAAACTCAAGGCCCGGGGGCTAAATGTGGTCCTCGTTGACATCTTATCAGGCCCTCAAGATGATATGTGAAGCGTCAAATACTTTTATCTCTTGAATTTTTTCAGTAATCTTTGATTACGATGGCGAAAGCACAACAGAGAACATCAAATGAGACCAATAAACTCTTGATGAGGAAACTGTGATCAAGAAAATATACTGGGTATCTGATTTGAGTTAAAGTAGTTTCTGAAATTGGCACTTAGTTTGAAAAAGGTTTTCATTGTGGCCCCCTTTTGTAAGTGAGTTTGACACCCCTGAATTAGACTATTTATAAAACCAAACATCAACCATTTAAAAAATAGTTAATAACTATTTAAACTTATGTTCAAGTTGTGTCAAATAGACCCACTATAAATTTGAATAGTTGTTTTTAAGGTGTTGCTTTAACAACTTTAGCTTCTGATAATATAGGGTTTTCTCCATTTAGCTATTTTTTTAGCAGGCTATTTACATATATATTTGTACCAATTGATTAAGGTTTAAAGTTCAGGCTCTGTGGATTATATTTATCCAAAATCTTTGTCGTTTGTCGATTTAAGCCACTGTTAGGCTAATGTTTTAGAAACTCTTTACTTTTAGCCATTTTCTATTAGCTCAATCGTTGCCAAGAAGAATGGGACATTTACCTAAAGTTCAGGAGGTGATTTAAATGTCTAAAGGTTTACAGCAAACATAAATAATCTAATATTTAGTATCATGGTGGACTCAGACAGATCATGTGTTTGAAGCTTGTATTTTCTATTAGTATTTATTCAAGGCAACGAAGTTCATGCTCAATCATCCAGGTACCAAATCCAATAATTCTCAGTGGGGTCATCTGGACAGTTTCTTTTTTATAGAGACGTTTCTGATTAAGCCCTCTGGATACAGTGCGAAACGTTTCTATAAAAAAGAAACTGTCCAGATGACCCGACTGAGAATTATTGGATTTGGTACCTGGATGATTGAGCATGAACTTTGTTGCCTTGAACCACTTTGACTGTGGCTGCCTGCCTGGGAGGAGTCGACGAGGGACAGGACAGTCCCCAGAAACCTTCTTAGCTCCAGCAAACTGGTTTCGTCCACTTAAGGAGTTTACTGCTTGGTGGGGAAACAGTTTACTGGAACTCCTCTGACTGATGAAGCCCTCTGGATAGAGGGTGAAATGTCTCTATAAAAAAGAAACTGTCCAGATGACCCGAGTCGAGTGAGAATTATTGGATTTGTATTTGTTACCTGGTAGATTTCTGCCTGCTTTGATTTTAGAGTTAATGATGCAGAACAAACCCATGGAGCTCAGAGTGTACACACAACAAACAAAAACTAAAAAATAATGTGAATGCAATTGTCAAGTTTGATCTAAAGTTCAGCTTAAAGACATATTCATCTTTCAATAAAAATAAAAAAAAAACACTCATTTTTTTGTTGTTTAATTCTAAGAATTCAACAAAATAACACTTCAAATGGCTGGAAAACGCAATTTTGAGTATATTAAAAAAAAATATATAAAAAGTGAAAAACAATATAAAAACATTAATAATAAAAATAATAATATAATAATTAAAAAAATAAAAATTAAATAAATTTCTGGGGTGCCTTCATACCCCCCACCCTGCACCATCAATCAGCAGAGATGTGTGACGTGCTTCGTGGTCACGAGTGGGTCTGGTCCAGGTCCACGGTCCCACCAGGTGCTGTGCGTGTCCCCAGCCTCTCCACGCGCTCATTCGCTGCTCGCAGCCGCCCGGATGTAGCGCACAGGCGCGCGCACTCCTCCACTCCGAGATAATAACATGGCGCTGGCAGACACATAACGGTGCTCATCTCTGGGAAAAAACAAAATCAAGCAAACATATCTTTTATATTTACAAGACCAGGGAAGAAAAAGGAAACGCAACGGGACATGTGAGCTCGTGACGTCATCGAGCAGGTAAAGACGTGATTTTTGTGCACAAATACATGAACGATGGTGAGAATGTGGCTGCTGCTTCTTGCAGGGGGGGAGCGAAAAGCCGCTTTGGTAAACGCTTATGTGGTGGGGAGAGATGTTCCGTGCGCCGGTTCGGTTCCTCGCAGTAAAACAGCAGTGTCATTCTGGTGCACGTCGGCCGCTGACGACGCGTCCGTGCACAAATAAATGTGTCATTTCGCAGGACATGTGTTGTCATGGCTGCCGGCCGCTGTCCTTGGTGTTGAAACGGCTGGACACCGCATCCAGGACCCGATGCTCGTGCACAGTCCGAATGAAATTCATCCCTGCTGCTGCTGGAAGGTCGAAGGGTTGAAAAACAACAAAGTGATGCACATTTAAAGGGCTCAGTGCGCGCGCTGCTCTTGTTGCTATTTCTTTAGCATCCCCTGAACATCCCAGCGTTTATGCTGCAGGACTGATAATGACAGAGCAGCATTTATTGGCACTGGCTATGTTTCTTTTTATTTTATAGACTGCCATCCTGGACTGTATTTAAATTCAGGCTGGAAAGGATGGAAATTAAAAGTGGTGACTCTGAGCCCCCCCATAAGCTCCTAAATACCCCAACACTTAGAGAGGTGATGAAATACACGTGTATCTCTAATAACATGGAAAATAGAGGCAGCCGTTAAGGCAAATATAAATAATTACCAGCTTATAATCAGCAGGAGCAGTTCACCGAGTGACTGATCAGTGAAATAAATGAAGAGCAACTCTTCTGTTCAGGTAAAAATGTCAGATTTTTCTCACGTTTTAACCCTAATGTGCAGACTTTGCTGTTCTGCTGTGTCTCAGATAACTGAGTATGTATTGATGAAAACATAGGAGTATTATCGGCTGCGTGATGTAAGCACAATCTGTATTTTTATTTTCTTATGTTTAAAAGAACTGATCCCAGGCTGGATATTTGCATTAGGGGTTGCATTTGAAGATTTTTTGCAACAATTCAGCGTTTAGTCACTTAGAGCAGCAGATCCAGTCCTCCAGAACACATCTAGTACTTTGTTTCTGCAAATTAATGAACACTGTTGACATCACGTCTGTAAATATCAGCCCTAGAAACAAGCAAAGATCAATAATTGCGGTAAATGTACATGTTTTTAAAGAGAAGGGGGTTACTGCATGCTCTTTGTTGCTATTTAACCACTGCTGAGCTGTATCCCCCCCCAAAAAAAATTCTTTCCCATCAACATTAGAAATTGAAGCCTTTAGGGGCTTATGATGATGCAGCAAACAGCCAACATCTTATTTTCATGAAAGCATCTAGGTGGTAACATTTGCATCTTTTATCGCCCCCCAGTATCACCAGCTCTCTGCCACTCATGTGTCTGAATTAGTCATAAACTTGACTAAACTCATGTGAGTTTGGTGTTCTTCCTGTTTACATCAGGTCTCTGCTCTGCTCCCCCGGCCCAGCTGACTCTTCAAGGAGACGTTTAACGGTGCCTTCTGCGTCTTCATGGGGCGTGTTGTGAAACCCCAAGTCGTTTTTGAGCCAAGTCATCGTTTTAGGCCGTGTCGCCTTCCCTGGTTAACCACTCAGTGATGCGTTCAGAGGCAGCACAGAGCTTCACATAACGATCAAACCTGAGGGACGCCACGCGGCTTCACCTTGCAGGAAAATTAACAACAACAATAAAATAATCGTCTTTGTTGCTATCACAAACTGATGGCCCTCTTCCTCTGCTTCTCTTCCTCGTTCTGTTTTTGTCTCTCTGACACACACCCACACACACGGAGCCACTCGAGGGTCCTCTCCTGTTGAACGTTTCTGGATACGGGGTGAGCACTTCAAAGGGCGCAGCGATAATGAACACATGACAAACTAGCTTAGTCCTCCGAGAGTTTGCACTAGACTGCTGCTGCTGTCTACGAGGAGGCTCGGCAACAAGTCACAATTACATAAGAGTCAGAGGGGTTGAATAATGTAGCCAGAAGAAGATGAGCTAACGCTGCTTTGCTGTGCACGCTGAAGCACGGCACGTCCTTTCTGCTTTTCTCCTCACCCTTCATGGCTAACCTCGCATGCTTCTCGTCAGCATTGATGCAAGGATCAAACCCTGAATGTGTCAAACTCAAGGCCCACGGGCCAAATCTTGCCTTTGTTTACATATAATCTGGGCCCTCAAGATATTTTAATTGTTAAATATATTGATGGGAGGCTACAGTGCAGACTTCTCATGACCTTTAAGCCAGAATAAAGGTTGGATTTTTCAGTCATCTTTGATTTTGATGTGGAAAGTGCAACAGAGAACGTCAAATTGTTGGTGAAAGTGCAACCAAGAAAAGGGGATGAGCATCGACAGAAATTGGCCGGAGGCTTAGACCAGGTTTTTAATTTTGTCCCTCATTTGAAACTGAGTTTGACACCCCTAGGTGCCATTTTGTTCATCAAGAGTCCGAACTCGAGCAGAAAAGGTTTTAACAAGCAATACGCCGATGTCCACCCGTCACTCTGGGATTTGAATATTGTAGTTTTTAAAATGAAAGTTTTCTGGACTGGAATTGAACAGAGAATACAAGTAAACCTTAATGCTTTTGGTGTAAGATATCAAGTGGGTAGGAGTTACAGTTTGTAGAAGAACAGAGGTGTTTTTTTTTCATGTCCGAGGCGGCACAGAGTTATGGATCGTGGCGAGTGAGTGATTTTATCCACCACCAGGTGCAATGAAGGAGCCAGGGGGTGGCCAAAGGTGGCCTTGACCATCGCAGATTAATCTGCAGCCAAGGAAACTATACTTTTAAGCAAAATAATCAGAATCAGATTCTGCTTTATTATTATTATTGCACAGAGAGACAGGAGATTATGTTCGCACAGTCTTCTGAAAGATGGGCGGAGTGCACGTTGCTGCTGCTACAAGAGCGCGGCCTCTTATCCTTTATCAGAATATTTTTTAGATAGAAAAGGGGAAAATGCCACGAGGATGGATAGTGGTATTACAAAAAAGATCTCTTCACACCTAATCCTATCAGGATACGATTTAAGACGTCAAAAAACTCTACCAGCAAGCACATTTAGAAACACGTTACATATGATTTGACAACAAGACGGTGAGATTTTTTTTTGGGGGGGGGGGGGTCCTTAGTTTACCCATGTCCCAGGAGAAATTTGATGTCGGCCTGTTTTCGAGGCCAAACAGGAGAGTCAGATTCAGCTAAGCCATTGTTGATTTCTTCAGGCAGACTGTTTTTTCTTGTCAGTCTTGAGTCCTGCTGGTACTTTCGATCCAAAATGACCAGATTTGTGGGCATTCCACTGATCCGAGCTGTGAGCCTCCTTCATGGTCATCGCCAACATGCTGGCGAGTCCTAGAAGCCGCATGTGGCCTGCGATTCTCACAAATCGCGTCCATCTTACGGTTTAGCTCTTAAACCAGCTGATTTTGAGTCCTCGTAGCACGAACCAAACCTTCAAGGCAGGCAGCCTGACGAGGGCCGAATTAACTGCAGCCGTCTTCTTTGTTGATAAACCAGGAACCAGTCAATTCCAAAAAGCAGGAAACCTGTTTTCATAAATCCAATTATATCTGTCTTCGGCGTCCTCCTGAGACAAAACGGAAAGACACATCAGCTCCCACATCCATGACGTATCCTGCAGCGTGAGTCTCAGCGGGACGTGAGGGCTCCTCAGGACCCTGTCGCTTTGTTGAAAAGATTTTGACGATTGCGTTGAAAGTTCTAGAAAGCATAGTTTCCTCAAATAACAAGGGCGGTCGGTTTACATATATATTTATATATGGTGGTGGCCATCTTGGATTTTGAAGTGGCAACCCAATTTTCGAAAGGGGACTTTTTATTCCTAGAAGAAAATAAATGAGAAGAAATGAGAAAGAGGAAGTTGAATGAGTTGGAAGAAAATGAGGGCTGACAAAAAGAAGGGGGATTAAAGTGGGACAATTGGTCATTATTACAAGGGAGGGGGGAGATCTGCAGTCCAGGAGTTGTGGAAGACAGAAATAAAAACAAACAAATAAACAAACAGGTAAATACAGGAATATATAAAGTGTTTGAATGTGAGTAAGAAGAAGAATGAGGGAAGTGAATAACAAAAAGAGGTTATTGAAAGGAGGTTTTCTTTCTTTACCTCAGTTTGTCACTTTGGTTCATTCTGGTTCCAAAGCCAACTTCAGGTGTCAGCACTTTAATCCCAGCTTGGTGCATTTTGCTGTATCCCCC